TTAGGATGTTTCAATAAATGTAAAATGAGAAAAAATACAAAGTATGTTCTCTTACTACAGGGGAGTTAAACTAGAAATTAACAACAATGAAATTTAGGGAATCCCCAAATAACTGAAAATTAAGTAATACATTTCTAAATAACCATGGGTCAAAGAAGAAATCACAAAGGAAATGAGAAAGTATGAATTAAAATTTTAAAAAGCAGAACATATATCAGAAAAGAAGATCTCAGATCAATAACCTGAGCTTCAACCTTAAGAAACTAGAAAAAGAAAAGTAAATTAAATATTAAGCAAACAGAAGGGATGAAATTACAAAGATTAAAATGGAAATCAGTGAAGCAGAAAACAGAACTTTTTTATTTGAAAACGAAACTGACAAATCTTTTCCTAAAATGACTAAGTGAAAAAGAAGAAACATGCTACCAAAATTAGAAATGAAACAAAGACATCACTACCTATGCTTGCAAAATTAAAAGCACATATAGGACTATTACAAAGAGAATGCCAAAAATATTAAATAGCTTAGATGAAATAGACACATCCCTAGAAACACAATTACCAAAACTAGTAACACAAAACTTAGCAAAAAAAAATCTGAATAGGTCCAGTGAAGAAACTGAATTAGTACTTTAAGAATTTTCCAAAAAGGAAAATCTAGGCCCAGGATATTTCATTGATGAATTCTATGAATATATTTAAGGAGGTAATACCACCAATCCTTCACAAACTCATAGGAAACAGAAGAGGGAACAATTCTCAATTTATTCTGGGATTAAAACATTACAAAATCCAAAGAGTCACAAGAAAACTTCAGACCAGTATCTTCCATAAGTATAGACACAAAAACATTCATAACATTAGCAAACTAAATCCAGCAGCAAATAGGAAGAATTATATACCATGATCAAGTGGGATTTACCCCAGGAATACAAGGCTGGTTTAATTGTTAAAAATCAGTTAATATAAAACTCTATATTAATGGAATAAACGACAGAAACCACTTGATCATCTCAGACATTAACGTGACCAACCGTTCTGTTTGGTCTGGGACTAAGAGTTTCCCAAGAAGCAGGAGTTCCAGTACTAAAATCAGGATCAGCCTGAGCAACTATAACAGTTTGTCATGTTAAGAGATGCAGAAAATGCATTTGATAAACTTCAGTAAAGTTTGATAAAAAACCTCTGAATAAAATAGAATTTAAAAGGAACCCTCTACCAAATAAAGAAATCTGCTACACAACATTTTGTCACAGTTAACAACAGTGTACTGTATTCTTAAAAAAATTAAAGGATTCCCTGGTGGCTCAGTGTTCAAGAATCCATCTGCCAATGCAGAAGACACCCTGGGGTCCAGGAACACCAGATCCCTGGTCCAGGAAGACCCCACATGCTGCGGATCAACTAAGTCCACGGGCCACAACTACTGAGCCTGCGCTCTAGAGCCGAGGAACCAAAACCACTGAAGCCCATGCTTCCTACAGCTTGTGCCTCGGCAACAAGAGAGGCCACGGCAGTGGGAAGTCAGAGCACTGTAACGAGACAGTAGGCCCCACTTGCTTCAACTGGAGAAAAGTCCAAGCAAGAACAAAAATCCAGCATAGCCAAAAATAAATAAATAAATAAAATGTCTTTAAGTCAAGGGGGTAGATCTCATGTTAAGTGTTCTTACAATAATTTTTTTTTAATTTAAGTAAAAGATTTGTACACGGAAGATTCTAAAACATCACCAAGAAAAATTAAAGATCAATGAATAAAAAGAAAATTTCATGTTCCTGTATTAAAAAAAAATTATAATAATTTATATTATAAGGCAGCAATTCATCCCAACCTGATCTACAGATTCAGTGCATTCCCCATCAAAATTCCGAAACATTTTTTTGCAGACAATGACAAGTCAAATTTTTAAACTTTACATGTAACCCAGAATAGCCACAATTTTTAAAAATAACAAAATTTAAGGATTTACACTACTTGGTTTCATAAATTACCATAAAGCACAGCAATGGAGACAGAGAGGTACTAGCACAGGACAGACATACAGATAATGAACCAGAACTGCAAGTCCGGAATTAAATCTTTACATTTACAAGCAATGCGGAATGACGATCTTTTCAATGAATGGTGTTAAGACAACCCGTTATGTGCGTGCTAAGTTGCTTCAGTCATGTCCAACTCTTTGTGACCCTATGGGCCATTGCCCGCCAGCTTCCTCTGATCCATGGGATTCTCCAAGCAAGAATACTGGAGTGGGTTGCCATTTCCTCCTTCAGGGGATCTTCCCACATACAACAGGTGAATTTAGACCCTTATTTTGTACCATACTCAAAAATTAACTCAAAATATATCATAAATCTAAGAGCAAAATCTATAAAATATCTAGAAGAAAACAAAAAGAAATCCTCAAGCTCTTGGATGAGGTAGAATTCTTGAAACAACAAAATTATGATCTATAAAAGAAAAATTGGGAAATTAAGCTCCACCAAAATTAAAACTTTGGTGCTTCAAAAGACTCCAATTAAAGAGAGAGAGAAAAGCCACAGACTGGGAGAAAATATTTGTAAAATCATGTATCTAAGAAAGGACTTGCATCCAGAATGTATTATAAAAACTCTTTCACGTCAATAATAATTCAACAACGGGCAAAAGATCTGAATGGCTTTTTCCACCTAAATGGATATATGAATATCATATGAAAAAATGCTTAACACTTTGCATCTTTAGGAAAACTGCTATTTAAAATCACAAAGAGTTAAATAAACATTTCATAGTACAATGGCTGTAACAAAACGGACAATAACAAGTGTTGGCAAAGGTATGAACAAATTGTAACTCTTATACACTGCTGATAGAAATATAAAATGTGGCCACTTTCAAAAACAGTGTGGCAGTTTCTCAAAAGGTTAGATGACCCAGAAATTCCATTCCTAGGCATCTATCCAAGAGAATGAAACCATATGTCCACACTAAAGACTTAAACTTTCAAGCTTCATTATTTGCAACAGTCAAAAACTGGAAACAATCCAAATGCCCATCAACTGGTCAACAGATAAGCAAAATATGGTATATCCATAGTCAAAATACTATTCAGCAATAAAAAGGAACAAAATATTGATGCATGCTACAATATGGATGAATCCTCAAAACATTATGTTAAGAAGCCAGATGATAAAGACTACATATTCTATGTTTCCATTTACATGAAATATCCAGAAAAGAAAAATCTATAGAAACAAAATACAGACCAGTAGTTGACTGGGGCCAAGAGTGAGAATAAGGCTTAACTGCAAAAAGACTAGAAAGAATTTTTATAAGTGATAAAATGTTCTAAAATTGGCTTGTGGTGATAATTTAACAACTCAATATATTTACTAACAAATTATTAAATTTTGCATCCAGAATTAATTTGGGGTACTAAATAACTCAAAAAACTAATTTTTAAAAAAAACTGTATATACCCGGGAGAAACGAAAACATATCCACACAAAAACTTGTAGAAAAATGTGCATAGCAGCACTGCTTGTAATAGCTAAAAAGTAGAAACTCTAATGTTTATCAACTAATCAATGGATAAGTAGTATGTGGTATATCCATCCATACCATGGAATATTACTCAGCAATAAAAATGAAATGAAATAATGACACATGCTACAACATGAATGAACTCTCAAAACATTATGCTAAGTCAAAGAAAGCAGTTATGAAAGATCACACATTGTAAGATTCCATTTATGTAATCTGTCCAGAATGGAGACAGAAGGTAATCAGTGCTCGCCTAAGGCTGAGGGTTTTGGAGGAAAATGGAGAGTAACAGTTGATGGGTATGAGGTTCCTTTCTGGGGATAATGAAAATGTTTTAAAACTGATTATGGTGATAGTTTCACAACTCTGTGAATATATTAAAAACCACTGAACTGTACACTTTAAATTGGTGAATTGAATGGTAGGTTAATTATATCTCAAAGCTGTTATTATCATCAAGGACAATAAACCTTGGTGTACAATCTGTGAGCAGGTAAAGCCATCAACACTGATAAGGACCTACCACAGCCACAGTTCCAATCTATCTACTTAGGATAGAAAAATCTCAAAGTTACAAATTCTTTCCAACCTACTGTGATTATTTTGTAAATGAGTATATGTGTCTGAAATGAAAAGTAATCATTTATCAAAGCAATTAGTTCAATCAGTAAGTTTAAAAAAATACTGACATTAAATTGTCCAATTTCAAATGCCCAAGATATATGAATTTCCTATTTCATGTTTTTAGAAGCTATCTCAGTAATACTCATATAAACTCACTTTGTAAACTATTACATCATATTTAGACCTTATTCCTAAACCCTTTTAAATGCAATCAGCTTCCAGCCTTATATAATGTCATTCTACCTTCTGAAGAAAAGAAGAAATTCTGAAATTCAAATATCCAATCCTATCTTTGTAAAGAAGACATTCTTCTGTGCATTCTGGCACTATTCTGTGACCACAGCACTAGACAAAGTGCATAATTTATCTCACGATACAGACTCCCAGTTAAAAAGAAAGGCAAGTCTGATTACTAAACACCAGATTACTGTTCTATCATCACCGGATTAAAATTTAAACCACACAGTTGAAATAAATGTTGCTAAACACAAGATAGGGGGTGAAATTCACAGTTGTACAATCAAGTGTTCGCCTCTTACTTCTTTCATGAAGTACTATGAACTTAAAGGCTATTCTGCAGCGTAGCTAGCTCCTACAAAAAAAGAGCCCAGGATGCTGGCACATGATAAACATTAGTAACGATTCGATCTAGATTACTCTTGGGGTAATGGAATATTTTCTCTGTCCTCTACTGACATGCAATAAAAATGCCCCAGTAGAGTCGAGAGGGGACTCGGCTGCCCAGCTCGGAAAGCTGCTCAGGCAGTCAGTTCCAGCCCTACCCAAGCCTTCCCCGTCCTCCTGCCGCGTCCCCCCCCCCCACCCCCCGCCCTCCCCCACCCTCCAACATCCAGGAACACGGTCCCTGAGGGCCAGCTTCACGAAGAGAGGCTCCATAAGGCGGTCACTGGACGCGCGTGTTACCGAGCCCGTTTTTGTTTTGTTTAAAAACCAGATTCCTGTCAGAGCCCAGCCTCCCCACTCCCGCGGGAACAGGGGGAAGTGGCAGCGGGGGGCCGGGGTGGAGAGAGAGAATAAAAGAATGACCGAGTACAACCTGCCGTGCCAGCTAGCCGCTGAGGGCAGGAAAGGTAAGAGGCGGCTAGGAGGCCCGACGGCGGAGGAAACTGCTCCCCAGCCGTCCACGCCACTCCACGCGGCCGCAGCCTCCCGGGTCCCGCCCCGGGCTCGCCGCCCTGCCCCGGCGCCGGCCGCCGCCTCCCGCCTTACCCGACCCTCCCAGGACGCGTTTCCTCTAGGGCCGGACCCCCGCCCCGGCCTCCTCGCGGGATAAGGCGGGTCAGTTCAGTCCGCTTCTCGGCAGAGGTGACTCGCGCGGCGATGTAAACACAGCCAGACCAGCTGCGCGCGGCCCATCCCCCGCGCCGGGGTCTGTAACCTCTTCCCTCAGCCCTGCTCCGCGCCCCGCGCTTCTCGCGGGCGGGCGCGCCGCGCGCCTTCCCCTTTCTCCAAGTCCAGCTCCCCGACCGTTGCCCCGGGGCACTCAGCCCCCTTTCCCAGCTCCCGGCCGGTGTCACCGCCACAGCCTCCGGAAAACCCTCCGCAAACCCCGGAGCAAACAACACAGGCGCCGGGCGGGGGCGCGGAGGGAGGCGGTGGCACCCGGGACGGCAAGCCTTTCTCGCCGCACCCTCCGCGCTCCCTCCCTCCCACCAGCCTCGGCGGCCCGCGCTCTTACCTGCTCTCCGCGTCGCCCGGGAAGACCGCCGCGTTGCTTTCCCTCCCGGCAGGGCCGCGGACTAGCCGCCGCCGCCGCCGCGGCGTCCGGAGGGAGCCGGGGCCTCCCCGGCTGCCCGAGCCGCTCCACTCGGAGAGGAGGAGACAAAACAGCGGCGCGCCGCCCCGCGCAGAGCCCCCCGCCCGCGCCGCCCCACCGACCCCCCAACCGCCGAGGCGACGGCGGCGACACTAAGCGCGGCGCGGGGAGCAATGGTGGCCCCCGCCTCGGCTCCTCCCCCTCGGCCTCCTGCCGCCGCCACCAGGACACTCGAGTCCGCCTCCCCCACCCCGCCCGCTCCGAGCGCTCCTCCCCTCCCCACGCGGCGGCGGGCGGGGGGGGGGGGGAGCGGCGGCACCGCCAGTCACCGCCGCGCCTGTCAAACCCCGGCCGGCTATTTATACCCGGCGGGGCCCCGCCGCCCTGGGCCCGCACCAGCCCGCCCAACGTGCTTCCGTGGCCGTCTCGAGTCTCGCCCGCCCTGTAGCCCCCCAACTTCTCCCAAGCCCGCCTTCTCAGGTAAAGACTCTCGCCACTTGTCCCGCTTCCTGCTCGGCTCCTTGGCCAGCCTGTTCCCGACTCCGACCCCGGCCCGGGACTGGCGCGGGGGCTCCCAAACGCGGGCCGGCGCGTGGGGGGCAGCGGGGCCGCGCGTGCACCTGCAGCGGCCGCCGGCCCGGACCGCACTCACACGCCCTTGCCCCCTCTCTGAGGACCCCCGCGGGCCCGGGCGGTCACCGCATCCCCATGCTCTGGACTCCCGCCCTTCTGCAGGGACGGCCCGGCCCTCGGGCAGCCTGACAGTCACTGAGGGCCGGAGGTTGTGGAAACTCCTAGCCCGGGTCTCCAGCATCTCCACTCCGAAGCCTGGACTAAGTGGAAGGCGGGGGCGCGGGCGGGCCGGAGCGCGCCGCCGGCCCCGCCCCCGGTGCCTCCCCGGCCGGTGACGCCCGGGGAGCCACGCCCCTCCCTGCCCGCGCCCCTCCGCGCAGCCCGCTCCTCCTCCTCCTCCCGCTAGCCTGCAAACGCCCGGCCTTGTACACCGCGGACCCCGCCCCGTTCCCAGAAATTACCACCCGCCCAACGGCCGGGCCGCGCGACGGTTGGTGCCCGCGTTTGCTGACGGGCGGGCGGCGGGGCTCAGCGCGCAGCTGCGGAGCGCGGCGGGCCGTCCCCTGGCTCTGGCCCCGGGGAGCTGCGGATGCCCGCACCGAGCCATTGTCGCTCCTCGCTCGGTCGGCGACGGTCGAAGAAGTAACTGAAGTCCGAAGATTGTCGGTGCGGGAATGCGGGAGAGTGTTGGTGCGGGAGTATGTGGGAGCCTGCAATTCGAAAGAAAAGGAAAACCCAGCTGTAGCGGAGAGCTTCTGGTTTCCCCCCTTTCACACAAAGAGGAATCTCTGAGCGGGGCACTCACGCGCCTCCAAGTACACAAAAGCCCCTGACACGGTGCCCAGGGTTGCACTGCGTTTGTAGCGCCTCGTTAATGATCTTTCTTACGCACAGTTATGCATATAAACGCCTCAATCTATTCCCCCACCAACACGCTTGGCAGAAGCCGCGTTTTCTTGTGTTTATTCAACAAAGAACCGAGACTGTCCCAGTGCGCGTGGGGACCGATTCTGGTCCCCTCCCGGGCTCCTGCAGCCGCACTCCGATGGACCCGGCACAGTGTTCAGCTGGTTCGTTTCCCAGGTCCAGTCACTCTGTTTGAGGCTCCACCGTCAGTCCTGAGCGAAGGAAAAAACCTGAGGATTATAAGAAATAGCTGTTCTTGAAAGTAACGTGGGAACCGTGGAAATAACGCTACAGTAAGGCTCAAACTTCAAAGAATCATAGGAGGCCCTCTGATAGAAGTCTCTGAAGAGCGAGGAATTTAATGATCTTCTCTTTCTTTTTTAAAGCTAATAATGCCTGTATATTTACTGGGATGCCAGGAGGGTTGCGAGAGGATTCTTTCCTATCCGAAAAAGCAACTGTGGATACTTTTTTCTTAAGAGATTTTTGCTTTAAACATAGGGGAAATCTAGATAGCAAACAGGGTCAAAGAGATCCTCTGAACTCTGATGAAGTTTTAGAGATTCCTGAGTTTTAAATCATAGCGACTCTTGCCACTTTTCTAAATTAAAGAATTTATAAAGTCTTACAACATTCAAGGGCTTCCCTTGTGGCTCAGCTGGTAAAGAATCTGCCTGCAATGCGGGAGACCTGGATTTGATCCCTGGGTTGGGAAGATCACCTGGAGGAGGCTACCCACTCCAGTATTCCGGCCTGGAGAATTCCATAGACTGTATAGTCCATGCTGTCGCAGAGTCCGACACAACTGAACGACTTTCCCTATAACATTCAAATCTTTCGTACATTAAACAACATCCTTTCTAGGGCAGTATTTCTAATGCCCTATTTCCTGTAAAATAACCTATCACTTAAGGGAACTGTAAAGAATTGGCCTGCAATGCAGGAGACTCAGTTTCATTCCTTGGGTTGGTAAGACCCGCTGGAGTAGGAAATGACAACCCACTCCAGTATTCTTGCCTGGAAAATCCCATGGACAGAGGAGCCTGGTGGACTACAATCCATGAGGTCACAAAGAGTTGGATACGACTTAAGCGCCTGAGCATAAGTTCACTATTGTCCATTTTTTATATTTGTAAGGAATTAGTATTCAGTACTACTGTTATCTCCATGACTATAACATGGCATATTAAGGAGTGTGCAACAGAGCCCTGATTTCTAAGTTAGGAACAGATTTGGTCTGTATATATAGAGACCAAATATTAATAAGATTATATGTATACTAGGTAGAATATTTTGTACTTTTTCTTTTTTTTACATACTTTTCTGTTTCCCTTTTGTTTTCACTAAGAAAATCTCTTTTTAAGACCACTTTTAGACTCTTCAGCCTGCCTTCAATATGATAGGTGAAATAAGAAAAGAGATTATCATCACTTTTATTTTTTTATTTTTTTTAACATTTATTTTTATTCATTTGGCTGCATAGAGTCTTAGTTGTGGCATGTGGGATCTAGTTCCCTGACCAGGGATCGAACCCAGCCCCCCTGTATCAGGAGCACAGAGTCTTAGCCACTGGACCACCAGGGAATTCCCTATCATCACTTTTATATCAGAATGTTAAATGGGAGAAGGACCCCTTAGCACCTGCTTTAAGGGTGGAAGTGGTAATCAGCATGAGGAATGAAGGAGAAGATTAAATTCTCCAAGTGGTAGCCTGTAAATGATTTGTCCCTCCCAAATTGAAAATTCTCATTTTGGGGCAAATATTTGAGCACTATGAGTTATAGTTAATTAAATAAGGCCCCATTCCCTTTCAAAGTGAATAATCCAAGAGAACAAAGGAATGCCATGCTGCCTTTTCTAACCAGTATTCTACTGGTCATACAGACTACTCCTAACTCAACGTGGGATGGCACTACACAAGGACATAACACCAGAAGATGAACATCACTAGGGCCATGTTGGAAGCCAGTATCGCAAGGCCCTGACACAGTAGTGAATTCTGAGTGACTGACATAGGTTTTAAACTTGTTGGATCCCCTCATTGCAGGTGGGCAAATCACAGGTTACCAACAATTATGTAAACTTTATAGGAACAGTCAGAAAAATCTCTTCTTTTGTCTCTTTAAAGAGTAAGGGGTTCTGGGCAACTGTCCAGTTACACTACGGTGTTGGTGAGTTACTGTATCCATCCCTCCCACCAGCCCTTTCTGGGTATCTCCAAAGATAATTATTCATAACTCTCCCATATTCTGTGTCTGCAAAGGAACCCAATCCCCAAACTCATGTCTTGTTTTAGATACCATCTTGCCTTTTATAAGTCAGAATCTCTTAAACATTGTATGTTAATCATGTTATAATAGGCCTGCCTGAGAGAATGATGAAAACCGAAATAATTTTGGAGGAACATGTTAAGTTTCCATAATTCAATGAAATAGTTCTTAAGAATGAAATTTGTACCATCAAATGCAACCAGATAAGCAGAAAGTGTAAAGTTTTTAATATAGAATGGACACCAAATCCTCTTGAGTTACATGTGTAATTTTACCATGTATTTTCCATGTTTTACCATGTTATTTTCTTGTAAAATAAGTACTTAAAATCGTTTCATAACTTGAGTTCTTGATATACCTACAAAGCAGTCTTCTCTTTAAAACAGTGCTTTAGTTGGAAGCATTGTATTTATTCTAACCACATATAAATTACTTTCAAAAAAATAAAAATAAATTACTTTCAAGGAATATTTTATTAGTTTTTAAAAATATTTGAAGTATTTAGCATGGATTACACTTTACTCTGGTTAGGATTTCTAATATTTTCAATGGTAAAACCAACTTTTGTAAGCAGATTTTGCCTCCTTATCTTTATTATTAAGTTAAATAATTCCATGGAATTCTCCAGGCAAGAATAGTGGAGTGGATTGTCATTCCCTTCTCCAGGGATCTTCCCAACCCAGCGATTGAACCCAGGTCTCCTGCATTACAGGCAGTTTCTTTACCATCTGAGCCACTAGGGAAGCCCATAAAATTAAAAGTTCAAGT